TGGTTTCAGGGCTGGGCATGTGACCCAAGCCCAGCCAATGGGAGGCAACCCTAGGATTTTTGCTGGAAGTTTTGGGAAGGAAGTAATTTCTTTGCCCTGAGGTTGCTAAACTGGCCATTTCTGTCTCCCTGTGGAGACACCTAGCCTGGTAATCAAACTGATAAAAGAAAACAGGCAGGAGATGAAGACAGAGTCATAATAACTTCCCTTGAGCTTCTGGCGTGGACTGTGTCTGAATCCAGAGTGACCGCCTGCATTTTTCAGTCTAAAACCCCTTTTGGCTGAAGCTGGTTATAATTGGGTTTAATGTTACCTGCAACCAAAAGAACATCACTGAAATCCTGGATGTGGCACAGGCATTATTATTCTCATTTTGTAAGTGAGGAAACTGAGGCTCAGAGAAGCAAAGTAAGCATAGAACTAAAGGGGGCAGAGGAGATACTTTAAATATACTGCTTTTTAATCTGTACCTCTACTCTCTACTCAGGGGCTCAAGGGGGGTGTCCCTTTCTCGTTTTCTTCCACAAAGCACAAAAGTAGGAACAGGCTTGTGGTGCCAGACTGAACCAGGTTCCAGGCTTGGTTCAGCCTCTTCCTACCTGTCTGATCTTGAGGTGACTGTGACTCACCGGCTTTATACTCTGAACAAGTCTCCTCTCAGCTTTGTGCCTCAGTTTTCTCATCAGCATAATAGGATGATAATAGTACCTACCTCACGAGATTGTTGTGAGTAGGTAAATTAAGATTATGCAGCACTGTTAGGACCGCACCTTATGCACAGTGTGACGTGAGGGCTGGCAGTTATTTTTCTTCTACTGCCTGTATACTGTTAGGCAGTTGCCTGCTTCCTCTCCACCCCACACACCCAGGATATGGCCAGAGTTATCTCCTGATACATCCGTTTCAAATACTGCAGCAAAACAACACATACCCTGGTCGCCAGGGGTTTCAAACAATGTCTGACATACAGCTTCTAAAATGCTGATGTTTCTAAAACTCCTGGCCCAGGAAGTGAAACTTTAGAGAGGAATTCCAAATGATCAAGTCTTTGCTGAATTGCAGAAAGGAAAGAGAGAAGGGATGGGTAGGGACCCAGCCATTTCTGAGGTTTTTTTTTTTTTTTTTTTTACCCCTCACTCTTCTCAGCTCTACAGTTGGAAAGAACAGAAATGCATTTCCCCCTAGAGTTTATAGCAATTGCACAAGTACTAACTCAGTTCCAAAGGGTATATTAGTCTGCTAAAGTGTAAAATATGGAGACCTTGGAGAATCACCAGGGAATGGGAGGGGGCTTATTGTGGATTCAGAGTGAGTCCTGGTTGTGGGGCTAGTTGATGTGCAGGGGCTGGTCAGAGGAACAAATGGGGAATCCTTTGCTTCTTAGATTCATGAAGGTCAGAGCTGGTGCCCAGTACAGGAACATGGCCTGCCAGTTACCCGGAATCCAAGTCTCGGATTTCTGGGCATTACCACCAGCCCTTTAATCTCCACCTTGTAGACAGGCTCGGGGTCATAGAGCACTTACTAAGGCCTCTACAGAAATGACCTCGTGGAACTTGCCAGCAGCCCCACTGAGACGAAGATTATAGTACAGTAACAACAGCTTTAGATGTTGTAGCCAGGCTACATAGGCTGGATTCTCAGTTCTCTCATGTGACCTTGAGTAAGTCACATAACCTCTCTGTACCCCCATTTTCTTCTCCACTAAAGAGTGGTGATAATAGTTCCTCCCTGTTCAGGGTGTTGTGAGGAGTTAATGAGTAAGCACCTGTAGCATTTAGAAGAGGGTATGGCACAGCGGCAGCTGCTTCTATTAACCCTCGTTTTACAGATGTGGACCCTGAGGCCGGAAAGAGGGAGCATTCACATATCGTACCCAGCTCATGAAGCTGGGCCTCAGTTAGCTCCACACGGTTTCACCGCCACTGAGCAGAATCTCCCTCTGCTCAGAGGAGGCTAAGATACTCCCAGGAAATACCTCCAAACCCACACCCAGCCACCCCTCCCCAGTTCCCTCCTTCTCAGACACCCTCCTCTCCCTCTGAGTTCTCTTTTGAAGTGTTGAGATAAGGTACAAGTTAGAGGTTCAAATGGAGTTTTCCTGGCACTGAAGAGAGAGGGAAAAGTGCTGCCTCTCTCCCCCGTGCTCTGGAAATGAAGGCAGTGGGTGAGAATTCTCAGGCTCCCAGAGTCAGGGGTAGAGGTTCAGAGGGAAACACATCCCTCACCCTCGCCCTTCAGGATGCTGATTGGAACGCGTTGGCTTAGAAACTTGAGCTCATCTGGACGGGCTCCTGAGAAACAGCTGAAGGGTGTGGTGCTCGACACCTTGGTGGTCTCTCTAGTTACCCGCGGAGCCTCTGAGGATAGGGTCCCTATGCGTCAGCCTTAGTCTTTCCCTGCCTGCCTGGCTTTGTCGGGCATTTGCTGTTGTTGTCCTAGTTTGGCCTCTGTTAGGGTTAAGGCGAAGCGGGGTATCACTGTGAATCTTCGTCTGTCAGTCGATCTGTGATTCACTTTGCCAAACAGCGCCTCATCTTTGCTTCTTTATCTTGACTTACCTATTTCAGTCTGTGCCCTCAGGTGTAGAGGCGGCGAGTTCTCGCCAAGGTTCTGACCCTCCTTTCACCTCTCCCTCCCGTCCCGAGGAGCCTCCCCACCGCGCAGTCTGAGGCTAGGATGCTCTTCCTGAGCTGCTCCGACCCCGGGGCGGGTGTGGAAGGTGTCCGAGCCCGAGGCGCCCTCTCCCGGCGTGAGGGCGGTCCTAGGAGCGCGGAGGCGGGGGCGCTGCAGGCCCGGGGCCCGGGTCTCCGCCTTCCTCCCTCCTTCCCGGCTGGCCCCCCTCGGTGCGGCTCCTCCTCCGGCGCCCCGCCTCCCGGTCCGCTCCCTCGGCGCCCCCGCCGCTGCCGAGCACCGAGCAGCTTGGCCGCCGCGGCCGCCGCGCCACCAAACTTTCCCCGGAGCCGGCGCCGGTGAGTCGGAGCGGTGAGTCCGAGCGGAGCGCAGGCAGGGGCCGGAGCGCGGCCGCGGCGGTCGGACGAGGCTGTGGCGCGGCTGGGCTTGGGTCTGTGCATCCCGGCGGAGCCGCAGGGCCCCCGGAGCCGCTGGCGTGGGCTGGGCGCGCTCAGGGGTCCTAGGGACGTGGGCTGCGTGGGGAGGGTCCCGGGACACGGCTCGCTCCGCGACACCCTGTCTGATGCTCAGCTCTGACCCCTGTCCCGACTGGCAGACACCTGTGGCTTCACCCGGATTCGCCAGGGTGCGCGCCCCGAGCGTCTGCCTCGAGCTCCCACGCGGAGAGGGCGAGTCTCCAGTTTTCCCAGAGCTGCCCCAGGCTCTGAGTCTCATGCTCGCTGCATTCCCAGCCCATCTGTTGAAAGCGTTGACTGTGCCAGGCACTGGGCATCCATGACCTCTTTCGGTTCTCCCTGTAACTCGATGAACCGGGTATTATTATACCATTTTCCACGGGAGGAAAGAGACTCAGAGAGGTGAAGTTGTGCCCAGGCACACCACTGAGTCAAGGAGGGAGCCAGGGTTTTGACCCCGAGTCAGCCTGATTCAAACCGCTTAACCACATGCAGGTGAGCCCCGGGTTCAGCGTCACCAGGAAGTCGGGTGTGGGAAGCGCCGAGACCACCGCTCTCCTCCAGCCAGGCTGGGAATCTGGGCGGGGCGGGCCACCTCCTCACTGCGCCTCAAGGAGGATCCTTTGGGAAAATGGGTGGCTATTACTGTCAGGGAGTGGATTCTGGTGGCAAAGGCACTTGGGGCTGCCCTTTCAGGTTGAGAGGGGCCAAATTCCGGAAATTACTCTCCATTTTTCTGGAAGGAGGCAAGGAAGTCAGGCGCAGGAGCTGGAGCGCAGCAGTTCTTCACCAAAGCCACTTTCCTTCTCTGGATGACTCCACCTTCCCCTGACCCCTGCCGCCCAAGAAGACCCCTTACCCCAGTCCATTAATCTCTCTGAGGTGTCTGCTCTGCCTGGGAGCTGTCAGTGCAGAGATGTTCCAGGCAGGGTCGCTGTTTTCCTGCAGGGGGCTCCCACCTCTGTCGTGGAGCCCAGTGATGAGGGACCGGTGCTGGGAATAAGTATTGTGTGAGCAAGGTCCTCTGGCTGCAAGGTGCTTGGGGAATTCATTCCATGACGGTGGCTGGGGCACAGGTGGAGTTGGTGGGGGAGGCCTGATCCGGAGGGCTTAATCTTGGAGGCAGCCAGGAACCAGCAGAGACTTGGGAGAGTGAGAGATGGTGGACCCGTGAGAGTATCATAATGCATGATGACATTTAGTTATCACAGCAGCCTTGCAAAGCAGGCACTAGTATTACTAACTTCATTGAACAGATAGTCTATTGAGGCTCAGAGAGGTTAAGTAACTTGCCGAAGGTTGTCCAGCTGGTCTTACCTGACTCCCTCCAGATTATCAGTGAAACTTAGGCTGTAGATGGGATCTTAGGTCCTTGCTGCTTGCGGCTGGCAGCAGCAAAGGGGAAAATAGAGAAATGCCAGGCAACAGGGCCCCCGATGCCACTGCACTGCTCTTCTTTCTCTAGGATAGCTGCCATGCAGGAGGCCTGCTGCTGAGCCGGTTATCAGTCACAGGAATTCTTGACAGCCCCAGGTAAATTCTCTAATACGACTCGGGGCTGGCTGGACCCTCACATGTCAGCCTGAGGCTGCCTGATGCTGCCCCACTGTCCCAAGAAGTATTTCCCCTGGTGGAGGGAAAGTCTGTAGGGAAGCCTGGTATGATTTTCAAGTATGAGAGAGAATTGTTCCAGAGTGGAGAAGGTCCTACACTGCCCGAACACTATTTCAGAGCTGGGTGGAGGCCAGAGCTGCCTCCAAGCCCCTGCAGCCCAGAGGAGTTTGGGTAGTGCTGGGCTGGGAGTGGTCCCTCCTGGCCAGCGGCTGAGTGTCTGAGGTGGGAAGAGCTTGTATCTGAACTTCCTCCTCTCAGACTCAGAATTCCTGGTTCTTGTTTACACTTTCCTTTTTACAGTCAAGGAGTGCCTAGCAGAAATGGTGTGGCCTCTGTAACAAAGAGGAGTATGGCACAGAGAGCAAAAATGTGGACTCTGGAGCTGACTCCCATCCCAGTGATGCTGTCACTTATGAGCTCTGTGACATTGAGCAAGTTGCTATACCTCTCTGTTCCTCAGCTTCTCCATGTTTAGGATGGAAGTATTCCTAGCACATTCCTCACTGGGTGGACAAGAGAACTAATTGTGTTCCTGTGCATAAAACACCTAGATGGTGCTAGGTAATATGTAAAAGTGCTGTTCACATGTTAGTTGTCATTATTGTTACTGTTAAGGTCAAACAGGCCCAGCTTTGTAGCCTGGCTCTGCCAACTGTCAGTTTCCCAACATCCATAGGACTTTTGCTTTCTCATCTGTCAAGTGGGAGTAATCTAGTGTTAGATGTAATGTGAGAAGTCTTCGTGCAGGTCCAAGCTTTCAATAGCCTAAAACTTGAAGTCTCAGTGCAGGCTTATTTAAACTTCTGGTGCTCTACGAGGCAGTCGGCAGATGCCGGGCATTGCCACAATTATCACTATTACGGCTAACCTCAGTCCTTCACTCTGTAGCCTGGCGTTCTAAGGGATGTGGATTTGGGACAGTTTTCGAGCTTGTGTGGGCAGGAGAAAGACTCTCCTTATGAAGATTCTCTCATCATGGCCACTTTTTAGAGACAGGTGTGGGCCTCTTGGTGGTTGTGGGATGGCAGGGTAGGTTTGAAGTTCATTTCATAAGGTCTGCCCTGTCCTCACCAAAGCAAAGAAGTCCACAGAACACGCAGCCCCCACTGCCTTTCAGATTGGTATTCTGTGCACTGTCCAGGTGGAGAGGACACATCCAGAGTGCTGAATTGTTTTTTTCTTTAAAGACAGAATAGTGGAGTGAAAAAAGGTCAGGATTAGAACCCCGGCCCTGGCTCTTTGCACTGAATGACCTTGGCCATCAGTTTCCTCACCTGCAAAATGGCCATTAAGCGTATTTTCTAGTATCAATTTCTCAGGATTAAAGCCCAGATAGAAAAGAAGAGAAATGAAGGAAAGAAAGGCAGATAGTATAAATGACAAAGAATTACATGCAATTGTAAGTAATTCTCATTAGCATTCAGGCCGGGCATTAGCTGTAATTGCTCCTGATCCAAGGCGTTTTATCTGAAAGACGTACCTGGCAGAGGATCATTCAAGCCCCAGTCACCTGCTGCCCTCCCTTTCACAGTGACGCCAAGCATTTCTGAATCTCAGGGTATAATTATAATAAAGCTCCTGTATCTTATTTATAAGTGACTCACTTCTGCCATTAATGGTGGCAGAGGACTCGGGCGCACACTCACTGGGAACAATGCGGCTGATGCTGGGGGGAGGCGGTGCGGGTTGCCTCTGCTCTCTTCTGTATTCATCTTCCCTGCTGTCATTCTCCAGTGATAATGCACGAGGATCACATGGGCCAGGATCGAAGCTGACAGCTCTCAATTTGTGCAGCAGCTTGGATGGCAAGACCCATTGAGACTTATTGCTGCCAGCAGAGTGGGTGTTAGAAACCATGATGTCACAACAGAGAGGATAGAGCAGAGGAGACTGAGGCAGGCCCCTGAGGGAGTGGTTAAAAACATGGACTCTGGTGTCCAAGAGATCTGAGTTTGAATCTCAGCTCTGCCAGCTCTTTGGTCGTGGATGATTTTTGTCTGTGTCCCCACCTTGACTGTCAGTTCTAACAGAACAGGGGCCATATCTGTCTTCACCAGGGTACTCACAGCTCCCGGCACATAGAAGAGGCTCATGGATGTCTAATGAATGAATAAATATATGACTGACAGGTTGCTTGATTGGGCCTTAGCTTTCTCATTTGTAAAATGGGGCTAACATAGCACCCACCTTGTAGGTTGCTCTGAGAACTGAAAGAGGAAATGTTGCATACACAATAAGCACTCAGCAATGCCCTTGGCGGCAAATTGATGAGCAGAAACAAGGACACAGCTGGTGGGATCTGGGAAAAAGAACTTTTTCCCCACCCTCAGACCAACAAAGAGTAATAATAATAATGCTAGTCATGAGAATCCCTGTATTTGTCCAACATTTTCCAAAGTGCTTTCTTATCTCTTGACTCCACACAATAGACAAGAATGGCTCTCTGTGTTTTACAGGTAAGGAAACTGAGGGTCAGAGGGATTGGTGGAGCACCCAGAGTCACACATTTTACAAGCAACAGGAGGTAGAACGTAAGCACAGGTCACTCTGATCTGCCAGGTGTTCCTGCTGAGCTCTTTCTTGCCCGTTAGGGGTGGATGGTCCAATATTTAGACTTCCATGAACATGGTATCTCTCTTTGTTATTTAGGATGCAGTTCAGGTACATTTTCCTAATTTTCCCTTGGTGGTCTTGAACATCTTTTTATTAGATAGATTCCTAGTTATTTGATATTTTGTATACTATTGTAAATGGTACCTCTGTCTACACATGTATTTTTTTTTAATTAATGCTACGTTGGTTGCTTCTTGGAGAAGTTTTTTGCATTTCACATATTGATTCTGTATCCAAAATCTTGGCTGAACTCTTACTAATTCAAAAAAAGAAATATTTGTAGATTATTTTGGAAACACTCTATATACAATTGTAGGAGGTGCAAGTAACTGTTTTGTTTCTCCCTTTCCAACCCTTTCTTTCCTTTTGGATTTTTGTTCCCCTCTCTCTCTCTTTCTTTCTCTCTGTGTTATAGAGGAATTGTCCCCATTGACAGTTAGGTATAATGTTTACTCTAGGGTTTTGGTAGATAATCTTTATCAAATTAAAGAAGCTCCTTTCTATTGCCAGTTTGCTGAGTGTTTCTTTTCTTTTTAGTCGTAAATGGAAGTAGAGTTTTTAACAGGTGTTTTGTTTTTTTTTCCCCTGCGTCTGCTCAAATGGTCCCGTGATTTTTCTTTTTCAATCTGTTAACATGGTGAACTCCATTGATTTTTGCATTTCTGGATT